TTTCTTTCTTTCTTTATCTTTCATGCGTTCTTTCTTTCTTTCTTTCTTTCTTTCTTTCTTTCCTTCTGTCTTTTGTTCCTTCTTTCTTTCTGTCGTTCTGCTGTTTCTGTCTTTCTGGCTTTCTGTCAGTCTCTCGGGATACCCACGTAGTTTTTTTTTTGATGCCTATTTAGTTTTTTTGATGTCTCTTTAGTTTTTTTTGATGTCTATTTAGTTTTTTTTAACCCCTCTCCCCTTGCCGGTCGCGCGCACAAACCAAGTGGCCGTGCCCTTGCGCACCATACGCGAGGTAATCGAAACCTGCTCGAAGCCAGCCTCCTCAAGGACCTCCTTCACCACCTCGGCGTCCCAGTGCTCCGGAACCCCTGGCACCCTCCAATCTCGCACCTGCTGATCGGCAGGTGTCTCCGTCCGGTGGCCAATTTGCCGCCGGCCCATCACCAGACCCCACTTGCACTTGATGGCAGCGGCCCTATACGGAAGTAGTCCTCGATCGGCTCGCCCGCCTCTGTCTCGACCCAAGCCACCCCATAGCTTGCATTGCGGCCTGTGGGCTCAACGAAGAGGCCGTCCTGCCCAGAGCGCCCCAGCACCGAAGCAACCAAGCTCTTCTTGACGCGCGCCAGGCCCACGATGACAGGCCCCAAGCGTCGCTCCTCCGCGGCGCCCCAGGCATCGGTCACAGCCAGCCGGGCCATCACAAAGCCCCGAAAGCCCTTGGTTGCATCCTTCCATGCCTTGGCATCGGCGAGGTCCTTGGCCAGGATCACCCGGACGACCTCGGTCTCCTCCGCCTTCACCGTCTGGGTGCCAGTGCGCTTGCCCTTCAACTTCGGCAGCGCCACCGTCCCGTAAGGAAACTCCTTGATCACCGCCGTGCGCATGGTGACGCCAGCGGCTGTCCAATAAGGCAATCGAGCCTTGCCCTCCGGGTGCGGGTAGGCGAGCAGAACAGATGACTGAAGCCCGCCCCCTGCAATCATGGCCTCCACCACCATTGCCTGGTGCTCGTCCTTGACCCCAAGCACAATGCTCTCGCCCACGCCCTGGTAGCTGGCGAGCTCCTCCACCGAAAGCAGCTTGCCGGTCCAATCCTCTGCTCGGAGTGCTGCTGGCTGCGCCGGCTTGGCTGCTGGTCGTGGCGGGGCTTCCCCATTGCCCTTGCCTTTGCCAGCTTCGCCTCTCGGCACTGCTCCTCTGCCCCTGCCCTTTGGCACTTGGGTCCATTCGCTCCCACCGCCTTGCGAGGCAACTGGAGCTGATGCCGTGGCCGCTCCCTTGCCCTTCCCCTTGTCTTTGCCCTGTCCCTGCAGGCTCTGCACCGTAGTGTTGATGGCCGCCATGGGAGCAGTGAAGTCGCCACCTTGTCCCGCCGCCAGCTGCGTCAAGATTTGCAGTAACGACTGAATCAGAGAGATCAGCGTATTCAGCTGGCTCGAGTCGACGGCAGGTCCTGGATTGGCCGCCTCCCCCAAGCGCTCCCCTGCATGCAGCATCAGCCTTTCGTGCCGCTTTCGCGCCGTGCGCCTAGCGCCCCCCGCCCCAGCGTGAGGCCCAGGGTGGCTGGCTTCCCCAATACGGATTCCCACCAGCCCCAAAAGTCTCATTCTGCCAGGCTCGCCCGGCAAATCCCTTCTCGCATGGCTCCATCCGAAATAAAGAGTGACCCCACTGTTTCTGCCCCTCCCGAAGAAAGCAAAGCCGCCCTCCTCGTAGAAATCCCTTTGACTCACGGACAGACCCGCATTCACAAAGCAATGCAGCTGCCCAAACCCCTGGCTCACGACACTGGCGGTCCTGTCCTCGCCGCCCACCTCCCCGAACTCACCGAGTGGCCCCATGAAGCACTCGGCCAAGCCCGGAGCATCCTTGTAGTCGATCTGCTCACTGTTCGCTTCCACGAAGGGTCCCGCCCCCACCGCGGGGAGGTAGTGATCGTATATCCAACAAGCAAGGCAACAGCAGAAGTAGAGCAAAGCAGGCTAGAGGTCGGATCGGAGTCTAGTTCCGTCAGGTTAACTGCGCAGCTAAGAGACAACACATGCACTACCTTAAGTAGGTGCTAGCGGGCGTTTTGCTGGGACCTCACGCAGAGTAGGTCTTGAACAGTCACTCAGCGGGCGAGACAAAAATGGCAAGATAGGTGTACGTCTTCGCAAGTCAGTGACAAATCACAGAAAGTGTGAGATAGTATGCGTGACTAACAAATAGGAGAATTACAAACACACCGTATCACAAGCAGTATTCGAGAGCTGAATTGAGCCATGTCACAGCGCTCCGTAAACTCGTCCACACTGATTGTGTGATCACCGTCCTCCACCGAGTCTGAGCAAGCAGGCTTCAACACGGCAAATCTCGACCTGATTCAATTAGCGGAACTGCTGTGTGCTGTGTTGGTTCCGAAATGCCGCAGCGGGCCATGAGCAAGTTTCGTGTCCAAAGTGGTAGTGTCCAAGCACACCGCGTGAAAAAATGCAGCTGCTCCTTGTCCAAGCTCATGAACAGTGTCCAAGCATCCATGGCGCCGATTTGCAGATACTCGAACCTTTGATCGCAGCCCTCGTTCTTGACAACATGGATGCACGTCCTCCTTGCAGCCTAGCGGCAGTGCTTGCACTGACTCATCATCAAAGTGCTTTTCGAACTCCTTTGCGCAAGGAACGAAGAAGCTGGCTCGCCGGGCGAAGGTGCGTCTCCAGGTGATGCTGTTCGCCGTATGATAATGCGATGTGATTTCGGGACGTCACAATCATGCAAGCAAGCCTTTCTGCAATTTCTGGCCCTCTGCAACCGAACTCCCCGTAACATTCAACAAGACAGTCTGGCGGCAGTGTAACACGAACAGCGCAAGTAATTTCTCCGACTCATTGTAGAAAGCCGTCACACAGATCTTTGTACGTCACATAGTGCAGGAAAGGATCGGTGATGGTGAGATGCCCGAGGCCTCTTTCATCAATCCGCTTGAACAGGTTGCTCACCATCTCGGTCGCAACTGTCAAACAAGGAACCCTGGCTGAAGTGAGAGGATGGACTTCCTCACGATTTTTGACGTCGTCTATGATACTCATCCTTCGATCGAGTGATGTGTCTCCTGTCGCATGCATTCCGAGCAGCGTCTTGGTAATCTTTGCGAGTTTGCATGACCTGTGCCACCACCGTGTCATGGTCGCGTTCCGCTGCCTTTATAGCCTGAGTTCGGCAGTAACTAGGGGAAAAATGTAGAGTTGTCTAATGACTCTATTGGTTCTCCTGGCAAAACCAACCCAAAACAAAAAGCACTTAAGCAAACAATCCAGATCCGAGCATCGCTATTGCAGAACACACCAGTCATGACCTGGCCAATTACAGAACTTTGTAGGTGCCAATACCCCGAAACGGGCAAAGCACAAGCGCGGCCCACAAGGAGACAGCGCAACCACACCAAAGAGGCAACCAAGCAGCTAGCAAGCAAGCGACCTAACCAAGAGCCCAAGGAAGCAGCAAACAGTTCACGTGGGATGAAAAGTTGCCCAGAGCTTTTCTTGGACTGTAATCAACCAACGATGCAGAGCAATGTAGTCAACCTGTTGGCCTTTGACAACCCAACCCCACCTGGCAGAGAGTGCCAAGCGAGGCCGAGGGCAACAGGACCCTGCCGCCCTACAAGGACGAAGCCACGCAACATGCTCCCAAGTGCCCAGCTCCTCACAAGGGTGCCAGATACAAGAAGTAGCAGGACGAACAGCCATGCGACCACCAAGGGCCGCAGGGGACCACGTGGCGCCACAGGCCACAGTGCGAGCACAAGGATTACTATAGGCCCACTTACGCGTGGCGTCCCAGTCAATGCTTTGGAAGCGGGAGGGCTGACCTGGCCAATAGAATTTTGGCGTGCAAGTGCCCCGAAGCGGATAAGGCCCTTCGAAGGATCACTGCAACCACCGGCAGAAGACCGCCAAACGGCCAACACCGACCGGCCTACAAGGAAGCCAAGCAACAACACTGGAAGGACGAGCCAACATGTGGCCACTGAGGGCCGCGGGAGACATAGTGGCCCCACAAGCAACCGTGTCAGCGGAAGGATCACTGAAAGCCCCTTATGGGTGGTGTCCCAATCGATCCCTTGAAAGTAACGACGGGAAGGTCCAAAGCAATAAAAGCATCAACATACCAGAGGCCTTATGCTGACACAGCGCTCAAGAACGCCAAGCTTGACGCACAATGTGTGTCAAGCTTGACACCAGCAGTAAGATGATGGTGCCAAATCGAAGGCCGCTGCCTCGTCCAACCACAACATCGCAACAAAGTGTCAAAAGCATGCGAACGCGAGCCAGTAGCAGCAACCCAGTTAAGGGCTCTCTTCTGATGAGCATGGGCGAGGGTGCCGTAGCAGTTGCCCCCAAAACAAAGCCGCCCCACAATCAAGGAGCAGCGGACACAATGCGACGAGAGCCAACACGAGCAGATGTCCCTTTGACGAAGCACCATGCCGGCTAAAGCAAGTGCCGTGCAAAAGCGGCCGGCAAGAAGATTAACGACACCGCCACCAAGGACATGATGTGCAGCCCATTTCAACACAATGCCAGCAAGTGTCGAGAACATGCAAAGGAGAACCAGTCACAGGTAAGGGTTGCGCGTGTCCGCCAAAATG